AAAGGCCAATGTAGTTGCAGATGCACTTAGCAGAAAGGTTTATCATAATAGTGTTTGTTATGTTATTACTCACACTACAGTAAAGTTCACTATTCTTGATGAGCTAGAAAAATGGCAAGTAGAAGCCTTAAAGCCAGAAAATGTGAAGAATGAAGGGATGGTACATTATGCTGATATTATACTTGATGATCCATGCTGATTGAAAGTATTTAAGAATCGGCTATGGATTCCAAAGATTGGTGGATTAAGACATAATATTTTAGATGAAGCCCATAAGTCTAAGCTATCAATACATCCTGGTACTAGTAAAATGTACTATGATGTACGGGCTGATAATTGGTGGCCTGGATTAAAGAGAGACATCGGAAGATACGTGCAAGAATGTTTAGTATGCTTACAAGTCAAAGCAGAGCACCAAAAGCCATACGAAATTTCAGAAGGTATTAGTGTCCCCATGTGGAAATGGGAAGAGATGTCCATGGATTTTATTACCACATTACCAAAGACTGCAAGGCAGAATGATAGCATTTGGGTAATTATCGACCGGATGACTAAGAGTGCACATTTTCTTGCCATACGTGAAACAGCTCCAATGGAGAAATACACACAAGTATACTTGGATGAAATTGTTGCGAGACATGGTGTGCCACTAAAGATTATTTCCGATCGTGATACTCGCTTCACTTCTCATTTTTGGGCGAGTATGCAACACGAATTGGGATCTCGGGTTGCTCTCAGCACAGCTTATCATCCCCAGACAGATGGTCATACAGAGAGAACAATCCAAACAGTCGAAGATATGCTTCGTGCATGCGTCTTGGAGTTCGGTGGTAACTGGGACAAATACTTACCTCTTGTCAAATTTTCATATAATAACAGTTACCACACTTCAATCAAAATGCCGTCATATGAAGCACTATATGGGTGTAAATGCCGTACTCCATTATGTTGGCGTGATGTAGGACAGAAAATCCTTGGTGGTCCTGAAATGATTCAAGACACCACTGATTAGATTCGAATTGTACGAGAAAGAATGAAAGCGGCCCATGATCGACAAAAGTCCTATGCAGAAAAGAGGAGACGAGCCATAGAATTCCAAGTGGGTGATTTTGTAATGCTGAAGGTATCCCCATGGATATGCATTATGCGATTTGGGAAGAAAGGAAAATTGAGTCCTAGATTTTTTGGTCCTTTGAAAATCATTGAGAGAATTGGTAAACAAGCATATCGTTTGGAATTACCTGAAAATTTGGCAGGTATTCATGATGTGTTTCATGTGAGTTATCTGCATAAATGTTTGAGCATATATGATGAAACGGTTCCGTTAGCCGAGGTGAAACTGGATAATAAATTAAGATATGTAGAGGAGCCCGAAGAGATTATAAACAAGAGAACGGTTGATCTACGTAATAAAGAAGTGGAGTTGGTGCTTGTTAAGTGGAAACATCATCGAGGCCCAAATTATACTTGGGAAAATAAGAATGAGATAAGAGCGAAATATCCCCATTTATTTAAATCGTTATGATTTCGGGGACGAAATCCTCAAAAGGAGGAGGTATTTATAACATACATCTTAATAACCTTGTTTAGTAATCGTGTTTTGTATGTTTATTAGTTTAAAAATGAATATTATTAAATAATATATGGTTTTGAACGTTGATTTCTAACAAGATACTTTTATAAGATTTGAAGTAAAACTACGTTTAGAATCATTCGGAAAGTATTGGAAGTGATGGGAAGTCTTATGTGATTCCGATCAAAAAGTCAACTGTCGAAATTAAGGAAAATATAACATTTAAGTTGGAAATAAGTAAAACTGATGTTATTGAAAGTTGTAAATTATTTCGTTAGAAACGTATAGGCGAAAACCTCATCGAAAACGGAGTTCCGAGCGAAAAGTTATGATCTATCAAAGTTTCGCGACAGAACCGGCATGACGTTATACGACGTAAAAAGTGAGTTTACAATAAAATACTTTTTAGCCTTAGTGATCTAAATGAAATTCGTAGTATACGTTAAACCAAAAGCGTGCATAAAAAGAACGTCCAAATCTGACTTCGTATGGGGAAGTTATGATTTTTCTAGGATTCGGCATAACAATATACAGCTCGAAATTTGAATTATGGATTGAGCAATCTTTAGCCGACATAACCTAAAAGAGAATCGAAGGTCTCGTCAATAGTAGTTCAACGGTAAAAAGATAGATGAAAACGGATGTCGGATGAAGAAGTTATGAATTTTTAATGAACTTTTCCTATCCCGACCTATTACAAATTATAATTTTAAAAATAAAGTCAAAATTAGCCGATGGAGTCCAAACGAAAGTTGTAGAGCACGGTCTCACCTACGCGTGGATATAAATAACGTGAAAAATGAAGCCCGTATGCGAAAGATATGAATTTTTGAAGTTCGGAGCACAAACTTCGAGATCTAACAAAGCTCACGACGTGAGCAAGTATAACTCACGACGTGAGGTAGTCCGTCGACACCTCTCAAGCCTAGAACACATGCGACAAGCCTACGAACTGATCAGGATAAACTCATGACGTGAGCTTATATGGCTCACGACGTGAGAGTCGAATTTTCGACCTATAAATAGAGGACCAGCCCTCTTGTTTCCGTTTACACAAAAACGCAACCCTCTCTCCCGTATTGCTGATTTTGAGCCATTTTCCCGAGCTAAAGATCGTTAATTGCTGATAGTTTTTAGTCAAATTCTACCGGCAAAACGCAACATTCGGTTATTTCACGGTGAGTTCAATATAGGGACAATTATATGTTATGTGTTATATGTGCAATGTGCTTTCCTGTGTTATTGATTTAAGTGGCTATTTCTTGATATTGGATTTCATGCCTTTGGCCATGTAGAGCATGTCTCGTATCACTTTGGTATTGGCTTTGTGCCTTTGGCCATGTAGAGCATGACTCGTATCACTTTGGTATTGGCTTCAGGCTAGGTAGGGCTAAAAGTTTGTACATGCTAGCAATATGATAACAAGAAATTGTATTTTCTGTGTCACTTGGGTTGGAGTTTTTATGATGTATATCATGTTTATGATCTTGCATTGTTGTATCTCATTGATTGTAAACCCTTGAATCTAATCATTTGTTTATATGGAAAGTCTGTCATATGATACACATATGCCTTTGTTGTCCTTTGTTTCTTTTGTTTTTGTCATATTGTTATATATATGACATAGCGTTATATTGTATCTATTTTTGAACCCACTAAGCGTCACCCGCTTATCCCTCTCAGTGTTTAACTATTTCAGGTGATAAGCATCCAGAGTAAACATGTTTTCTTGGAAGACTTAGAATAGTCAATACTACTATGTTTGTAATTATCATACATATATATATATATATATATATATATATATATATATATATATATGTATATGTGTTATAAATTCCTAGGTAGTTATGTATTTTATGAAACTTTGTAAAAACTTGTTAGTCAGTTTGTATCCAGGCTTTTGTAATTAGACCACTAATATAAATTATAATTATGAATATGCATGTAACATGTTTTGACTTTATGTTAATATTAAGTGTGAAAGGGGTCTTTCAGATTTGATGCATAGCCATCTCCATTGCATCCTATCACTTATATCAGACTCTATAAAAATTGACAAGTCTTGATTGATTCAGCTTGTATCTATCTCAATGCATCAACATATAAAGATCTTGGAAATTTTACCCTTTTTAGAATCCAAACAAATCTTGATCAACTATAATCTTCATTTACTGTGCAAACACTTGCAGGCTATTTTCGATGTGGATTTCTCACCAAGGCATTAATCTAGATCATCTAACATTCACAGGGGTTCAATCAAATTGTTTCCACAGAAGAGGGACACGTCAAAATGGAGAGACATCAGAAGAGGAGGCGTCGGGGGAAATTATCAGCGTCGGAAGATAGAAGTGTCGATGGTGTCAAGCAGATGAGGGATGTGTGAAGGGGATTCCGACAGTGGGTGACACATGACAAAGAGAACATTGGCGGTAGGGAAGGGGATTTCGACGGTGGGTAGCACATGAGCAGGTGGCAGTGACGATTAGAGAGATGAAGGCGTGTCGAAGGTATATGATTGGGGATGGGAACAATCTATGATGGTGAGGGTTTTTAATCGACAATGGATTCGGTATGTTGGGTTGGAAGAGGTGGGGAAGTGGTTGTAATTGTCAGGGGAGGTTAACGGCAGTGATAGAGGCGGGGAGAGGGAGTCACAGAGATGGAGGGGGGGGGGGTTGTTTGCTTGTTACCGATAGTAGGAGGGAAAGATATATTAGGTTAGAGATTTACTTATTTGGTCCTTTTAGTTACAAGTTTTACTGAGTTGGTCCCTATACTTTAGTCTTTTTATTATTTAAGATCAAGGGAAAAATGATCACTATTTTAAAAAATAACACTTAAGCTATTACATTTAACCAAGGAGGGACCAATAGTATAATTTCTCTACACTATAAGGATGCAACCTATCAATTTTAATAAATAAGGACCAAAATTGTGAATTTAAACAAACCACAGGGACCTTTTCCGTAATTTACTTTATTTTATATTGAACAAATTACACGAATGGTCCTTTAGCTTTATAGTTTTTCCCTGAAGTGGTCCTTACGGAACTTTTTTCCCTTAGATGGTCCCTAAGGAGCAAACCTTGCACACAAAAAGCCCTTGTGACTAACTTTGTTAACAGATTCTGTTAAGTTTTGTTAAATGACAAATATACCCTTCGTTTTATGCACACAGATGGCCCTTATCTCTCTCTTTCTCTCTCTCTCTCTCTCTCTCTCTCTCTCTCTCTCTCTCTCTCTCTCCTCTCTCTCTCTCTCTCTCTCTCCTCCTCTCTCTCTCTCTCTCTCTCTCTCTCTCTCTCTCTCTCTCTCTCTCTCTCTTCTTTCCCATTTTTCTTCATCACGAGCCAAGGAAGAGGCTGTCGGCCACCGGAGCTGCCTTTTCCTTCCTCCTCCTGTCGAGCAACGCCACCCAAACACCCTTAAAGATCGTTGTTCCGTCCTGACCCCTTGTCTGTCGCATTTTCTGTCGGATCAGAAAAAAAAAGAAACAACGAGGAGCAGCCAGAGCATGCCCTCTCGCCACCATTGACGGCGACAATAGCCACCAACAGCCGCCTCTCTTTCTTCTTCGCTCCTTTCTTCCGTCCATAACAGATCCAAAAATAAACCCTTGATCGGCGACTGCTTTGCTCCCCCTCCCCTTCGTGTGTTGCTACCGACGATCCAGTACAAATTTGTAGATGGTTCTTGATTTGGTTCTCAGACAGGCGGTGGTTGGGAAGGAGGGGGTAAACAATGGTGTATCTAGTGCTCGATTCACTGGGGAGGCATACCGGCCATGAGTGAGATAGAGAGGGAGAGACACACACATATCGGATTTTGAGCATCTTCGTAACAGAGATTGCAGCGATTCCGGTGCAATTCCATAGAGGGTTTTCGCTAAGCCTCTTGGTGGAGGTATCGACGCCGGTAATGTCTGCAATTGATAATCTGCCGGGTTAGACTTAGGGGTCGACTGTTAGGGAAACGTATTCTCTGATGTCGTTGATTGTGCAGCCGAGGAAGTCGAAGTGAGGCCCGAGGATGGATATGATGGCAAAGGCGAATGACTTAACGAAGGTAAAAAAAAGTCCGGTGAAGGTATTGGTGGTGGTCACCCATTTCAGGGGGAGGTTTGAGTTGGTGGTGACTGGAGGAGGACGATGAGGGAAACGAGGGTTGTAATATGTGGAGAGAGAGAGAGAGAGAGAGAGAGAGAGAGAGAGAGGGAGAGAGAAAGAGAGAGAGAGAGAGAGAGAAGGACCATCTATATGCATAAAAAAAGGGTATATTTGTCATTTAACAAAACTTAACATAATATGTTAACAAAGTTAGTCACAGGGGCCTTTTGTGTGCAATGTTTGTTCCTTAGGGACCATCTAAGGGAAAAAAGTTTCGTAAGGACCACTTCAGGGAAAAACTATAAAGCTAAAGGACCATTGGTGTAAATTGTTCTTTTATATTTATTCCACCGCGAGACAGTTTTCGTACTTTTAAACTTTGGCTATTAAGGTTGGATATTTTACGCATTCGCTGTGTGAATTTCACGTCTCGAGCAATATAGACTAAATCCATTTTATACAAAAGTTAAATGTCTTCTTCAATCTTTGAGTTCTTATTCCGAAGTATGGTCTAAGAAATTACCAAAATATTTCATGCTCTTGGTTGTTAAATTATGTTATTAGAGCACCCAATCGAAATTTTTTTGGTATCTTTTGATGCCATGTCATGTCATGGCTAAATCACCAAATCCAAAAAGCTTTATAATCACTATCTATATGATGATTTTTTCACATAGTTTTTTTATGGTCCCACAATATCAATCAAAAACAAAATATATAGATATATGAATGTAATAATATTAAATTATAAAAAAAAACTCTAATCATAGATCTAGCTAATTAGCAAGCTAATTGAAAAAGTTTGGTTTTGAAAAAGATCTCCCTATAGCGTATTAAAATGCTCAGAGCTTTTTATTTGAAAAAGCTCAGAAAAAGCTCCTATTATGAATGTTCTTAGTTTGGTTTTGGTTTTTATGCACACTCCTAACAATTAGTTGAAAGGATGCCAAGAAAAAAAAACAATTATATTCTATTGAAGCTTCCAAGCTCGAACCTGCATCAAGTCTGATAAGAACATCTCAAATCATTTTTGTGATGATGAACAGTAGTGCACCAAATTCAGTGGGTTACAATTCACCCGATAAATTGATGACATTAATATTTAATTCATGAGTTAGTAAACACAAAACAAATTCATATATGCATATATATGTGTAAAGTGTAAACCTAACTACACCAAAGACTAGCAACCATATCGGCTACCTGTTCCATCTAAAAAACGGTCTGTATGCCACCCTTTTGCCTTTAGTTGAGACACCAATTCAGGCATCATCATATTCATCTTTTCATACGCATCTTCCAACTTTTCAACCTCCTGATTTGCATATGCCGCCACCAACCACCCTCTTAATGCATCTTCACCACTCGCATTTTGCTCCAACACCATATCCGTCCACCTGTTTTCAAAACTCAAAACAAATTTCTCATCTGGAAAAATCTCTTTCACTTGTTTAAGTCTTGAAGGCTTCATAGCCTTATGCAAATCTCTCCCCACTTTCACATTTCCAGCTTCTTTTATCAATCTCCTTGGATACACAAGATCTTCCCTGTTCCTCAAGTCTGCAGGACTTGACACCTTTCCTGTCTGAATCATAATCATAATCATAAATATAAGATTTTTGGTGTGTAGTTTGTATATTTGACTAATAATCAACCTTTATGAAATCTTCAATGATCATTGCAGTTCTCTGTGGATTTAATGTGTTGATAGGAGCAGTTCGCATTTCTTCACATGTACTGTAAACGTGTATTAGAGAAAGGAAAGACCCAACAACCATCTACAAAAAAAACAAAAAAAGATTAAAGATTTGAATACCCAAATGAGAATAACATTTTCAGTGTGTTTGCAAGATATAAAAGATTGTACCTTTCCTTGCATTGATGAACAAACTGTAGAAACTAACTGAATCCCTGCACCCAATCCAAGAACATTAAACACAGTAGAAATCGCCTCTCCTTTTGCATATAAGTCACTAAGATTTCCCTCTTTTGCAAATGCAGAATAAATTGTCAATCTTGTTGCCCTTGCAGCAACTATGGCCATTCCCTGTTAAATTACAAAAAAGGTTTTATAATGTAAAGTCTTACAAGGAAAATGATTTAATCACCAGTTTGGTAATTAGTATTTAGTATTTACCTTTGCAAAATTCCCAAGTCCAGCCATTTCAAGAAACAGTTGTGGACATAATGGAGAAAGAACTTCCAAACCAGTGCCAAAGTCGTATAACATATCAGCTACAAATTAAAAGATCCATCAATCCATCTAAAACTGAATTTTAATGATAATATAAACAAAAATTGGAAGGATTCAAAGTTCAAACCAAAGATTCGCCACCGTTTGGGCTCAGAATCCATTCTTGCACCTAACTTGCTGCACATTAGCTTTCCCACATGTTGCATACCATCCTTAAGTATCTGTTTGACACCAATTGAATCAATTAAATGTTTTCAGAAGCAGTTATTGTTCATTTACGTTAAATTGCTGCATATTGGAATTTGTTAAAAGCTGTTTCTTACCCAACTGGCTGCGGTTGCTTGTGCTGGTGTAGGTCTTAATCCTGCAGCGTATAACAGTGACTGCAAAGGAGTAAGATCAATCAATAAACCCTAATTTGAACTTGTGATGATTCTAATTTCTAAGTATCAGAAGAAGACCTGAGTTGATAAGACAGATAATGCTGAACTGGAGAAGTGTTGTAATGCTCGAAATTGTGTGTATCTAAGATACCCTTCATTGACACTGCATTGGGTTTTAGTTTCATGAGAAATGACACTTTGATTAACAGTTTATTGAGAGAAAGAGAACTCGATATGAAACTGAGTCTTATGAACTCGCCTATATGGATAACCCGAAGGGAGAAAAGTATTGACAAGAGACTCGGAGATTTTGTGGATAACTGGTCTTGAATCATTCAGCACCTTCACCTAAAGAAGAAACACCCAACTGATTCCGTTATGGAATTCAAGAAACACCCAACTGAACTTAATTGTAGGAATTACAGCAGGTGATGAGAATTTAATAAGAATTGGAGATTCCAAAATCGAGCAAACCATAAATTTTTGGAATTATGAGTAGCATTTAGTCGAACACGTAAAGGAAGGGGATAAATAAAAATACTAACGGAGAGTTGGCCGTCGGGATGAAATTCAAAGCGGCGAGAGACGGTGTCTGAGGTCTCGGTCCAGGAGACAGAGACAGAGACAGAGACAGAGACGGGGACTACTTCCGGCGACGGATATCCCGCTTCTTTCTCCAGAAGTTTGAACTTTTCCTGTCATCAAAATGTGAACAACCGCCAAATTTACAAAAAAGAGAAATTTTGATTAAGGCGGGGACATACCGGAAAATTCATGGCATGCAAGAAAGAGAGGGTTCTTCTGCCGCCGGCAGCCGACTATCGGATTAGATTTCGCCACCCGTGAACTCGGCCTTTAGTAGATACTAGATAGAACAGAACTACTGCATGGAACAGAACACGGACCTTTTTCAAATGAGCGTTTGGTGGGACAAAATCAGGTATTCATTAAGTCGACTAATTTTAAAAATTTAGTCCCATCTAAAACGGATGGAACACGCTGGGCCAGGAAACCTAAAAGGGTGGAACACGCTGACATAAAATATGAACAAAATTGCAAAAATGGTCCCTGTGGAACAAAATTGCAAAAATGGTCCCTGTGGTTGGCAAAATTGCAAAAACGGATGGAACACGCTGGGCCAGGAAACCTAAAAGGGTGGAACACGCTGACATAAAATATGAACAAAATTGCAAAAATGGTCCCTGTGGTTGGCAAAATTATATAGTTTTGGTCCAAAATGAAATGTTGGTGCACCACTGGTCCAATTTTGGATACCTTGTGTGGTTTTGGTCCATATGGTTGTATTTTCTTGTGTTTTTGGTCCACATCCCACCTAAAATGCCTAATATGCCCCTTAAATAACTATATTTTCTTTTCTTTTACTTATTTTCTTATTCTTATAATAAAATAAAAAACAAAAACAAAATAAACTCACCACTCACTCTCTCTCTCTCTCTCTCTCTCTCTCTCTCTATATATATATATATATATATATATCTAAATCTTTATCTGACATGAACCATGGGCTGTGGTGGTGCGTCGGTGAGCCACCAAGACAACAGCCTCATCTCTCGTACTTCTCTTCTCCTCCTGTTGAGCAACTCCACTCCACCGAACCACCCCAACTTTGCCTTGTGCCACCGACCATTCTTTCTGTCCACCTCCCTTCGAGTTGCATCGTTAGATGCCGCCTCCGTTCTTCTTTCTTCGAGTGACCCAAGGTCGGCGATTCTGCTGCTTTGCGTCTCTCAGATCGTTGTCGAAGACGAGGAAGAAAAACCCACGAAGGGTCACCGGTCTCAAAGAAATGCTTCATCCCTCTCGACAGAAGCTCCATTCCAGCACCTGCACACGAAGGGGTCACCTGATTAAAACAAGAGACGAAGACTTATTAACCCTAATTTCATTAAGCTCCATTCCAGCACCTGCACAACCTTATTCCATCAAAGGTTCAAACCTGCACTAGAAAAATCTCAATCCTCCGGCCATAACGAGATCTGAAAACTCTAGATCTGATGATAGGTTCGACGATATTTGGGTTTCAAATCTAAGAAGGAGAGGCGTGGTTGCAAATGGATGGAGGCAAGCAGTGAACAAATGATGTGGCGAATAATGGATGGGTGTGGTGGTGAACGATAC